TCAAGGAAAAACCTTCGAGGGATTTTCTTTTTTTAATTACAAACTCCATTCTTCACTTATGCTTTTGATCCTCTCTGTTAGCATGTAGAGTAGGTAGTTATTCTGGCTACCTTGTTCTATCTATTTTGCATGACTTGAAAAGGAGAGGTCATTTTCAAATGAAACACCATAACATTGAAAGGACACTAGCAGCAGTAAAGCCATATAGATCAACAGATTCAATCTAACAGCCCAGAGGCTAAATCTGACCCACAAATAAATTGTTGCACTGTTAATTTTACATGGTGTTTATCCTCACAAATATTTTATTTGCCAAAATCTTCAAAAATCGGAAGATTCTTAAAAATCAAAATTACCAGGGTGGGGTGGCCTTTTCTTGGCTAAATTACCTCGGAAGTGTGGGCTGAAATTTCCCCACTGGAGAAACTAACATGCTCCACTCTTCAGGACAAGAGCTCTAGGTGGACTGGCGTGGTCATTCTTTTCAAAAATAAAAGAACTGGTCATAAAACATTTATCCCAACAAATGGTATTTTTTTTAACGACTGCAACAACAGAAGAGTTCACATAACACAAACACAGCTGTATCACATTTCAAACCACTGTCTAATAATAAAAGCTAACCGGGAAATTTAAAAATGGAGAAACATCAATATGTTAGGAAAGGGGTTAATAGCTTTTTTCAAACTTTTCTGAAATGTGTAATTGGGCAAACGATATAAATATGATTCAGACAAAAGGAGATGGGGAAAACAAGCATTGAAAACTAGCCTCACTAATTGGAAAAATACAAAGGAGAATATTGAAAACAGGACAACAGGGTTAATTATAGAGCAGGGCTATTGGAGGAGTGAGCATCCGTGACTGGGGCATCGCCGGCAACACTGGGAATGGCTGTCAACAGTGGCTGTGGTACACCCCAAATCAAAACAGTTGCAGCATCTGACCTGGTAACCCCACCCATTGCAATCTGGGGGATGGTTACTTATTGATTAAACAGTTCAGTGAGATTGGGTGGGCCAGAGTGAGCTTGGAAGGACAGAGGGGAGCCATCAATGACTGAGATCTGTCCCTGGCTGAATCCTGGGACAGTCTTCTGTCCTCAGCCCTTGGGAGTGTGGACTGTGAGTGATCAGCTGAAGCTGTAGGTGAAGCAATGAAGAAAATAAAAAACACACTTTAGTTTGCATTTCTTCGCTCTCATCATGCAGCTCTCGACAGCCTGAGGCTGGGCTGTTACTGCATCTCTGAATGTGATGTTTCTTCTCATGTCACAACTGCAATCATCGTTTTGTCTCCATCACTGAACTTTATTTTAAAGATCTGACATTGAATATTCATTGCTCCTCTCCTCCTCCTTCCTCCGACCAGTGATATATGTCAAGTTGAGTCGGTCCCACCTTATTTGAAAACAAGTTCTCCTGGGACGGCAG